GTATGGCATTGAAGCTAGATAGATAGTCTTTTTCTTAAAAAACAACTGAAGTAACACGGGAGTTTTCTATCTGAACTATCTATCAGTTGTTCACTTTTTCTACTTGAAACATCGCCATCATTCAAGTATAAGAAGAAAACAACTATTAGTTGAAGTATGTTTTGATAAATAGTTTGTAATAGTTCAGGTACGAAAAGTGTATAATATATAGTTTAGATAGAAAGCTGGCGAAAAGCGTGTTTTAGACTATTATGTAAATTTGAACTAAACAACTTTATAGAAACAAGGATGTCTAATCAATAATCATCTATGTTGTTCAGACTTTTCAAAAATATTGATAGGTACGTGTCAGATCTTTCAAAATTTAACGCATATTTAGAAGATCTGACACGAATATGACCCTTTATAGTTCAGATAGAAAACTCGCATAAACATGTTTTGGACTATAATCTACATTTGAAGTAAACAACTTTATAGAAACAAGGATGCCTAATCATCTATTATCTTTCGACACTTTGTAAAATATTGACAGATTCGTGTCAAATCCTTCGAAAGTAATGCATATTTAGAAGATTTGACACGGATACAACAATATTTTTAAAAAGTCAGAAAGGTGTAAGTAGTCATTAGTGAAGATTTTAGTTACCATTCACAATAGCCTCAAAGAATTCATCATTTTCAGTTAGTTCTGCCCCTGTTTTGCCCTTCCATTGTTGCAAATGAGTCACAATTTCTGGATCCAAGTAAACTCCAATTGCTGTGAATTTAATTTGGAGAAAATGTATCTCTATATCTGTTATTCCTGAAAGATAAAAACAATTTGGAATCAATGATTCGTAACCTAAAAAAAGTTAGAAATAAGGTCATAAGTAACCTCTACACTACGATCGAAATTTCACAGATACGTCATAACTAAATTAAGGTCCTATTACTCTCCTGAATCTACATTTTTTTTGTAATTTTGTATACTTTTTTTTAGCTTACGTGGCATACAAACATCCTTCACACGCCTCAACTCTGCGAAGTCGCGGAATGTGCCACGTAGGTGTATAAAATTACAAAACAAATGAGTTTAAAGGTAATAAAACCTTAATTTAGCTAAGGTATTTCTCTGAAGTTTCGGTCATAATGTAGAAGCGTACTTGTGCCTTATCCCAAAAAGTTACTCTACTCTAACAAGTTAAAAATTGCCAATGACGTAAACGTTAAACTTTATTATTGTCAAGATATATAAATTAAATCCGAATTAGATTTTTGAAATTATAAGTGCGAAATTTAACATGTTTTTTTAAGTAATATTTACATTATGATAGATACTCTAGATGATTTTGGGTTTCATAGAATTATCTTCAACTAATCAACCACCACAAAGGGGAAAAAAATATTTACTAAACTACACAAAAAGAGTTCCCTTTCAATATATAAAAAAAAAAAAAAAGTTGTACAACTATATGATATTTTAATTTTTCAACAAATGTAATAAAATTCAGTAATTTTGGCTAAACTTTATACTTATTTCAAGAAATAGGCTTATAATAGGTTCATGAAAAACCAGTAATCTTTCCTCAAATTCTATAGATTTGCATTAAAATATTTGAATGTAAGCTGAATCATTATCTTATGTTAACTTAAAACCGTCGAAGAAATTCATAAACTTCTAATTTTGAATCTAAATTTTGACAATATTTAATAAAATGTCTTTATTAAAATTAAAACACATAAAATCAAGAAGAAGTGGTAAAAAGTTTTTTTTTTTTACCATGGCCCATCAAAGGTAAAGGCTTATTATTCACCATGAATTGTGAAGGAAAAGGAATTTCATCCACCATCACTTCATTCTTTACCACTACACCAAAAAAAAAAAAAGCATTTTTAATTAAGAAATTAATCAAGAATCTCTATTTACATTAAATAAATACAAAAGAAACAAAATACAAATTAACTTACTCTTGAACTTGATTGGGAAAACTTAGAGAATTTGAAAGTGGACTTGAAAAAAATATATTTGAAAGTAAGTTTGTTGTTTGTTTAAGATTATGTGGAATATATATATATATATATAAATATATAAATTTATATATATATATATATATATAAATTTTAAAAAAATTAATTGTAGAATTTTTAGCTACCACACAATCTACCTTCCAGCAATGGGAAGCTGTTAGGTATGAGTATACATTTTGTATTAATAGAAAGGTAGGCTTGACACGAGTATTTGGAAAGTAAGGTGTCAATTTTACAAAAAGTATACGTCGTTTTTCGGTGGGATAAGAATAATAAATATTTATATAATCAACGAATCATTTAAAATTTTTAAAATTAAAAAAATACTTATCATTCTATTAGACGATTCTATTTTTTTCCTTTCATTTCTCCTTTAAATTTATACCATATATATTTAAACTCTAGCAATCATCTATCATTTAGAAATAAATGCATTATATATATGCCTAATCTAATTAATAAGGCAGATACACTCTACTTACTAGACATTAATCATATATTGATTATCGAGAATTGTAGTATAGTGATAAAATATTTTGTTCTTATTCAGATCTCGAATAGAGTTTTAATTATAGAGAAAATTTTGTAAGGAACTCTTGAATGAATTTATAGTATATAATTTGAATTTGATCGAAGCTTCAATACATGCTCAAATCATATATCAGTACAAAGTACTAAATTCAAGTTCATTTGAGGCTCAAGCAGAATTAGTTAGGAGTTTTTTTATTTATTATTAACATTAACTTGACATGATATTTTTGCCTTGGAAAAAAGAATAAATATGTTCTCGAATTATCGTAAATGGTATGCATATATTCTCCGTCATATTTTTGGGATATTACTGCCCTTGTTGTCCAAAAACTACAGTATATATGTTGTTTATACTAAGACGTAAACGTTCCATAATCATGTCCATCGATTAAACATTTATTAAATATCAATTCGACGGATAAAATTGTGGCACGTGTCCCTATTTACTCTTCCGTTAGAGTAAATGTATATACTCTAGTTTTTGAACGACATCAGCACCAATGTCTCAAAAGTATTAAGGGGGTATATGCATACTATTGACGATAGTTCAGGGGTATACTTGTCTTTTTCCTTTCTCCTTTTAAGTCTATAAACCATATATGTTTGACTTTGTTAATTTTCAAGGTGAATACTTTTTTAAAAACAAAATATTGTTGTTGTTATTTGTTGTTATGCCATGATTTTACTATATTGAACTTTATTTAGATGTTCATTTTTGTAAGAAAAAAGAAGAAGCAACTCAACTTATAGATACAGAATTGAAAAATCAAATTATCCCAATCGACTAATTTGAAATCATCCAATCTGAACATTTTTTTATCGAATTTGAATAATATTTTACGAAAGTCTGAAATCAAGATATAAAATTAATAATTCTAAAATTCGATCCGTGCATACCCCTAATAAAAATATATGTATTACTTAGCTCAAAGATAAAGAGAACCAATTTTACTATTTGTCTGTTATTGCATAACCACCACGCCTTTTACCAACCAAATTTAGGCCATGTTGTCTCATTGAACACCTTTTACATTATTTTATTTATTATATTATATAGTATTATAATATAAGTACTTCAAAATATATTCACTAACCAATCAAAATAGTCATTTTTTTCATCAATTTTTCACAAAAAAATTGGTTGGACTCACTAGATATTATTGGCAAAATTATCCAATTAAAGAATATTAGGCCTAGCTAGCATGTCTATCAAAGTCACATGCTTGTTAAAATTACACATGAGGTTTTTTTTTTAATTCGAGGTTTCGAGTTTAAGTCATATGTATAAAAAAATCATTAGTCTACGTGCTACCTTATGAGTAAGACCCTACCAAATGCAAATCAAAATTGATCGGATACCAGATTTTTTTTTTAAAAAAAAAGAGGTTAAAATACACATTTATTATAACATTGATCATAGTGAAAGCAAAATTAGAACTTAAAATTTATAGATTTTGATATTACTATTAAATTGAGAAAATTTCAAAATACATATCTAACTTTGATGACATATAATACACCAAAAAATGGTATGTATAAAAAAAAAAGTTAAAATAACCATTTTAACGAATCATTAACAACCCTATCAATTCACTCGTATGATATCATATAAAATGAAGTCGGATATGGTAGTGAGGCTTAATACACTAATCATCCAAAGATATAAAGTTTTAAGCATTGAACCCGAAATCTCTGGTTAAGAGTGAAACACTCCCATCAGTGCATAACAACCCATGTTGGTTTAGATAATTGACGATAATTTCAACTCAACTTTTTTGTGATATATGTGTCTTATCATGCATAAACGTGGCATAATACGATTGGTGCCACCTCATCACCAAAAAACAAAATATGATTGGTTTTTTATTTTACATGTCATACGTAAGACGTGTGGCTTTTGTCCCTCGATCTATTCCTTGCTTGTGCCTTTCCTCAAACTTTCCACCCCATGCTCGTGCCACGTCCTCAAATGTCATCGATTAAAATATATTATTTCATTTAATTATACACATTAATCTCAATAAATCGTAACACTTTCATTATATTTCAATTGAAGTTGATATATATATATATAACTAAAAGAGATTAGTTTAATAATGTTAACTTAACTATCTAATAGACAATTAAGAACACTCACATAATTTCCAAAAAAAAAAATCGAAAATAATGAAAACAATTATAATGTATTCGGATGCTCAATTTGAAACAAATTAAATCATAATTTGAGAAGAGTTATCCACGTAAAAAGACCATAGTCTCAACGCAAATTTTGTAATATATGTATCTTGGTCTTTTTCTCTATCCGCTATAGAGAAATTCTATCTCTTTCTTTCAAGGCCTAACGTTCATAAACGTGTCATCGTATAATTGGTGCCACCTCATCACAATTTATTTATTTTTAACAATTGGTCTCAAATGTTACATGTCATACATAAGACATGTGCATTTTGTCCTTCAACCCTATTCCATGCTTGTGTCACATTTTTCATATTTCTATTTCAAATCTCATTCCTCAATTCCCTCTAACAACTCCAACAAAAATCAAATCAAATCATTCTGGGGAATTAAATAATTTTTAATTTAATTCCCCGGTAGGAGTGGCGATTTTCTTCCAAAATTAAAAAAAAATGGCATCGTTAGGTGTAAATCCGAGTATGTCTCTAAATAAAATTGGAACGATACAGAGAAGATCAATAGTATCCATGATACAAATGAAGCACGTTGGTGTTGTTTGTGCTTCATCTCTGTCTCTATCACATTCGCGACCCTTAGACAGGGTCGGGAAAAATGATGATAGAATGATATTATCGATGATTGGATGAATGCATCAATGGTTGACATTGTTAAGAATTTGAAACAAGCACCATTACTTGTCCACATTTACGCGAATGAGGAGGAGGTGGAGGATGACGATAGAGAATCATCGCGAATTTGGATCAAAACAGAGAGAGCTCTGTTTGAGAATTGGGCAATGATGAAAAATGAATGGGAAAGTGGAAGAACAAGAACACCAGATGGATTAATTTTTGTTGAAGAACTTCGAGATGATGAATATAATGAAGATTTGGAGTTGGATTTGGATTCGGATTCGGATGAAGTGTTGATGAAATCATGGGGTGTAATGGTGCAGGGGAATGGAATTGATCAAAGTGGAGCTGTTTGTTATTTGTTGAAGACTAGCAGAGTTAGAGCTGGAAGAGGAATGGATTTATTTTGTACACATTTTTGTTTAGTAAGAGTTCAGAATTTTAGGGGAAGTGCTTTGAAACAATTTAAAAGTTGTTGGTTGTGACAAAATTCAAAATTGTTATTGGTTTTTATGTTTTTTATTTCATCACAAGTGTCGTCATAACTTGTCATTTTGAATCGTGATAATTTAGCTTAATCTCAATTGCACTTATGTCAGGGTCCAAGATGATATTTTAGTAATGATGGTGCTATAGTCATGCTCCTCGACTATTCACGAGGTACCTGGTACCTTCCCAATTTTCCATCACCGGATAACTTTGTCTATCAAACATATGAGAAGAAATTATCTAGCCCTTGATTGGAATTTAAACCCTAAATCTCTAATACTTTTCGCGAACTTCATTGACCGATAGGCCAAATCTTTGTGTGTCTGGCTAGTTTTCTTATGATAAGGAAAATCCGCAGCCGCTATCCATCAGGTGTGCACAAGGTAAAATCCCCACTCCTAGGTAATAGCTCGCAAACCACATAAGAGAAGTTGCCTGTGCGACGAGCTCAACCCAGAAGGCAAACTCCTGGCTAGCAAGGGATTTCAAACTTGAGACCTCTAACATAAAAGTCCCAAACTCAAGCCACTGGGCCACCCGTAAGGGTGTGTGCCTGGCTAGTTTACCCCAGCATTACTTGAGATTTTTGATAAGATGAACATGCTCACAGCTCATTTGACATATCATATGTACAAAACCCAGTATTATGAGCTTCACAAGGTAATGTAGATAAGATATTTTTATCTTTGTATGTCTGAATAGGTTACCAGTTGATACAAAACTCAGCAGAAATGAATCTGTATAATTCATTTATTTTAATCAACTGTGGCTCTGTATAGTTCATATCTCGGGATCTCATCTCAACGCTGTAGTGCTACAAAACAATCTATACAATGTACAACACCTAAGCCTGAGAATCACGTTGAACGGATACAGGATCTAGAATAGGACTGAAAAAAACACAATGCTTGTTGTAGTAAGACTATATGTATCAAACATGGAGTATGTGCAATAAGTTAGGACGAGAGAGTCATAATCGTTCTGCTGGATGGAACTCTACAGCCAGGCTGCCACCTTACTTGATATTGGCTGGATTGATAAATTCTCAGGAACCTTGGCTAGGGAGCGGTATTGCAACTTTACACTCTCAGCATTATCTAATGTCTTTACAACATACCTGCACGAGCAAATGAAGAGTCATTACTTGACCAGTTGAAGAATTTTATCAAATACTGCAAGATGAGAAGAAGTAAATTGTGACATTAACTATATAGATGCAAATCGAGATATATTCCACAAAGAAAAAAGGGAAGAGTTGAATAAGCTGCATTCAGCAGTGTGCTCAAAAGCTTCTTGACAAAGTTCAATGAAGACAATGTGTTCAAAAATCTGTATCAGAATTCGAAGGGTTTAGCAAAATACAATAAACTTGAGATTAACATTTTCTTCCCTTTTCTGTGAAAAAGGAGGTTGATAAACCTAGATGAGTTGAAGAAATCTTTTCAATCAACTATCGGGTGTGCCCACCTCACTGTGGAATGTAAGTTTCCAATTCATCATTTTCTGGATGATGAAATTTTTTGGTGTGAATATAAGTTACAGTTTTCTCAAAAAAAAAAAATTAATGAACTACGAACACAAAGTAAGCATTTTCAAGGTAAGCAACTTTTTGAGATGGATTTTCAAGGTCAGGGATATTAAATACAATGAAATATGCTAAGCATTCTAAAGCATTTTAAAATTCATAGAGCATACCACTTATTTGAGTAATGTATATGAACTCAAAATCGTTTCTGATGGATCAAATCTTTCCCCTGAACTATACATGAGTAATGTACAGTCATCACAGAATTTTACTTGGATAAAATCTCAATACTCCCCACAGAAAAGGCTATGCTCCAAAGTTTTCCGGTATAGGAGGAGAAAATCTAGAATTGGGTTGTAAAATACTTTGAAAATGATTCTTGTTTAATATAGACAAAGAATGACCACCTTTCACTATTACTTGGGCAGGGCAAAGAGACTTGCTCTATACGACACTTCAATTTATGTTTTGGACTACTCAAGCTATTAAAGAGGAATGTATCCAAGTCTCAATATGATAGAGCAGGCTTGTGTTTCATGTGAAAGGGGAATCAAGACATTTATGTATAGAAAACAAATAAAAAACAAAAGAGGCTTACAGATAACACCAAGTTTTCAGTGAGTTCTGCAAAATGTTTGGATAAAGGAAGTAAATGAAGTGTAAAGTATAGTAGGAACATTATTAATCTTTTGCTCCTACCATTGGACTAAAAGGGATGTAAAAACATTTACGTCCTCCTTTTCACCAATTATGAAGGTGCATACACCCCCCCTCTTTACTCTCTATTTCCTGCCCACTTTAGATGATAATGTATTCCCTCCCTTCTCCCTCAACTATCCAAACAAGAGGAAATTACCTCTTCCTGCCTCTGTTACTTCCCCTCACATAAAATTCTCCATTCATTCTCAAGAACGTACTTGTTAAACTTCATGTGGTGACCAAAATGATTTATCTACAAGAGATTGAACTGTAAAATGCTTAAGTATATAATTACATGTAATCTGGCAGAGGAGTTGAGAATAATGGTGTAAAATGTGAAAAGGTGGTAAAGTAATAGTTTATAATTAACGTGAAGTGATGAAAGGAGCAAAGTTTTGTATTTTGAGATGGATTAAAGTTATTTTTTGACTGAGGGAGTGCTTGACACAGATAGACTCTCCAACTTCCAAAATGGATGTCTCTACTAGATAAGTTTAGATTTCTTTTATAGTCGAGAAATTCCTGATGTCCAGGTGCACACGGTTGGAAACACAATGGATAACCGGCCCATTTCTTTGCCTCCTCCACTTAAGTACTAGGCTTCTGTCCATGGAAAAGTTCAAAGTTGTGAATCGTGCATAACCCATACATCATGCGCTGCACTTTTACCAGTGAACCAAAGCCTGGAGGAGATAAGTCTAGATTTATCAAGATTTTAAACTTTTAGGCTTAACAGACATTCAGATGTTGAGAGCATAAGTACAAACGATATTTTAGTGGATATTTTCAAAATCACTCTGAATTGCTTTAAAAAGTCAAAAAGATGTAATGAAATACAAGAAAGCAAATATTGCAAAGAAAGAGATGTACCATCCATTCAAGCACTGAGTTGTAACAACAGCCTCACGACCCACAAAACGCTCAGGTGTCCTTTTGTTGCCCTAATTAATTAATTATTTCAATTAGATACCCCATTCAAAACCAATTAGGGAATGTAATTAAAATTCAGATTTAACTCGAAGAACCTTTATTATAACCCTGTCTGTCACAGCGAATGGAAACTGAACTCCTCTTCCTCTTAGATGATCAGGAAGTGCTGAATCACCAAAGGTCCCTCTATCCTGCATAGAGATATGATACTAAAACCATAAATAATTTTGGAGTAAAGTCAGTCTTTTGAGTACGAGAATAGACACTCCCCACTTTTTGTTTTTAGTCTAAATTAAACAACGTTCAACATTCTTTCGACCTCATTTCAGGCAGTGATATAGTTTAAAAAATATGGAAGTGGCAAACCTGATCATATCTCTCCTTTCTTCTTTTTAAAGAGCGATTAAGATGTGACTCCTCTTCTCGGCGGAATGCTTGAATTGCAGATCGAAGAGCTACACATATATGGAAAGGCAAATAGAAATCATCAGAAAGAACTAAGATACGTAGGACTGTATGAACTTACTCTTAGCCTCATTTAAAACCTTTAAAATGCAGAAAGGACCAATGAAGCCCATAAAAATCAATCTATGGTTATTCCAGTACAGACATGTTTGACTAGAAGTTCAAAAAGAGAGTAAAACTAGGATCACAAAATCAGAGCTCAAACCCGTGATGTGCATCTAACACACACATCAGACGTTGTGCTCTTATCACTAGAACAAAGCCCTGAGGATCAGAGAAGAATTTATCCAGTTGATTTAATGTTTATTTACTTTTTGACAAAGTAATGCAATACTTTGGAAGCACTTCTAGCTCTTAACAAAGGGTAAAATTTGTAGCTACAGGTGAAAGAACATGTGCGCTGTTAATTAGATATCCTCAGTCTGCTATGAGAATTTAAGCTTGCTGCTTCTAGTTTGGAAATCAACAGCAAAGAGTTTCCTTCATCTGAAGAAGTGAAAATGATAAAGATCAAAAGATGACATAGAATGAACACTGGAGTAATGGTGGTTCAGAAATGAACTTAGCAGCTTAATGTACGAAAGTAGTGCGAGAGTAAGCATGATAAAGGAGTAATTTCTCTTCTATACTGTTGTCGAGAAAGAAGACTTGGTGCATATTCCAAAAGTGGAAACATCAGATGTTTACATTCTTTTTTTTTCTTTTTTTGAGAATGGTATGTGATGAGATGTTTTACACTCATAAGAACACCTAAGAAGCATGTGAAATAATCCACTGATTCTTAAGGACGTCAGAATGACAAGTCAATTTATTGCAACTTGCAAGCTGCAATTGCTAGCTAGGATGAGGTGTCTACAGAAGTGGAAAATAGAAGGCCAGAGGAATCAACATAGAATAATAGGCTAAAATAGGAAACCAGTCTATATCACAGGAAGCTAAAAGTGTTGTCCTATAGAGGGTCATGAAATGAGTCCTTGCTCTGAACCTTCAAGCCGTGTACTCAACAGTGTCGTGCAGTAGCGGATGATTTCCACAAACTAAGTCTCAAGATACAGGCATGAAGGCTTGTGAGGATGCTTTGGGTTTCAAGGTACATAATGGTGCCGAAGGTTCCTGACATTGTTTGAACTGATGCGAAAGCTCAAGTGGTGTACATAGTTAGAGGGAGGAAAAAGTTATCGAGGCAATGGATTATCTTTACTAGTTTTGACAATAGTTCATTTATATGTACTATGATTAGGACATGTTGTACCATTATTCTTAGATAGGGGCCAGTGTAAACCATGGTGATGTTTCCCGGATAGTGAGTTCATGCCACCAACAGAGAAGTCTCCCCAAGTTTTACGAGTTTAAGATGACAAGATGCTACCACATAGGTTTTATTTATTCATTTATCCACCAAAACCCGTTGGTTCTCTTTTGGAAATAGTCCATACATGTGCTTGATCATAATTCTGTACTAGAGTTCGTCTTCCTGGAATCCTCAAGGATCCCTGGCACAAAGCTACAAGAATATGAGTAGCTTTTCAGCACAAGAAATCATTATAACCTATTTAACTGGTAAGTAGTCATCTAATTAATGTTTTCCTGCAACACTTGCAACCCGTAGAATGAAAATGAAATTAAGAGAACGGCAATATGCAGGGTGTTCACTGGTCAGTTCAGTTTGATTTTTTGTTTTTAAGAAAATTGAAATAAATTCAGTTTTGTTTGCTTTTTTTTACTTTGATTCGGTTTTGGGTTGATTGGACTTGGACCTTCTCAAATTGAGCCACTAAAATAACATAATTTTGAAATAAAATACTGCATAAGTATTCATAGAATAATAAGGTCTTATATATATATATATATATATATAAAAAAAAAATCAAATACTAATAAACAATTAAATTATCTAATACAATAATCATAAAGATTCAGTATTTTAATATGTTTAATGATTTTTGGATAAAACGAACCAAATTACTGAATTACCAAAAAAGAAAAGACCAAAACTTTTTGTTTGATTCAGTATTTTGATTTTAACTGAATTACGAAAACCCAAAGCAACATTTCTTATACAGCAGCAGACATTTGAAAATGTACTGGCTTTCACTGGACAGCATTATCAAGTATTAGGAGAATCAGAGAAAATGTATACTCAAGCTACCAAAAGTACAGAATGTATACTTACATAAATTAGGTGACAGTGAGTCTTCGGACACCGCTTGTGAACAGATATAGCAAACTTTCTGAAAATAGACCATAAAGGCTAATAAGACACACACTTTAGAACTATAGTCCAAAGGTACACAGACTAAAGTCACTGCAAATTTATATTATCTTCCGAAGACCTAGTTGCCAACTTAAATGGGAGTGAGAATAATGCAAACTTTTGGTCTCATGCATTTATGTGAAAGTACACAGTCATTAAATATTAACATATATCATAACTGTACCTACAAAGGTAAAAAGATAAACACTTAGAGTCTTAGACTACATTATGCAGAAACATTAAATGACAGTGGAAACAGAGGATTACTGTTACTATTTTTATTTGACAGGAGAAACGGAAGATTTGATAGATTAAGCATGCAAGATTAGGGTAACTGTACCTACAAAGGTAAAAAGATAAACACTTGGACTTCATTAAATAATTGTACCTACTAAGGTAAAAAGACAAACACTTGAGACTTCATTATGCAGAAACATTAAATGACAGTGCAAGCAGAGGATTACTGTAACTATTTTTATTTGACAGGAGAAACGGAAGATTTGATAGATTAAGCATGCAATATAAAGGTACAGCTTTTGCAGGTGGTATGGTTTCAGAACAGTAGGTCCTATCAATATCAAATCTAAAATTAAACGCACTTGCATTTCATTCTGATATTTGCATCTCCACAACTGAGAATATTAACATTTTTATCGCTATGTAATCAAATGCAGTGCAGGTCCCCTAAACTTAAAGCAAAGAGAAGCTTTTCCAAAGAAGCTTCCTTAACTCAAAGAGCATAATAATCACAATCAGAACCCGAATTCAGGAACATATTCTCATACTACGCCAATGAAGTAGTCAGTCTCTCAATCTCATACATCTTGAAACAGAATTTGTTGATTAGGCAGGCATTGAATATCAAAATACTCAAAGGGAAGAGCTAACAAGCAGTTTAGATGCAAATGCAATTAATATAAGGTATCAACAAAAGTTGGTAACAAACTGCTTCTAGAGGACATACCATTCTAATTACATGCTGAACCCCACCGCTACCAAAGGAATGCCCACAAGGCAATATCATTGCATCATCCATAAGCTCTCCCCTAAAATGGCAGCATGATGTCAGGTCTGCCGCAAGTAACAAGATGGCTAAAATAATACATGAATCAATAACGGGAAATAAATTGAAAGACACTACAAGAGAGCATGATATTAAGTTGGGATAAATAAATAAATGCATGAGTCAACGCCAGCAACTAACGTATGGAAAGAAACTACACAAGCTAATAATCCTAAGAACATTCTGACCTCTACTCTAAGCATTACAATAGGTATCTCAGATTAGATTTACAAAAAAAAATTAAAAAAATCATGCAGCCATTAGAAGAATGAAGAAGTAGGAGCATACATCAGCCGCTTTCCAAGAGAGCATATTTGTTGACCAATGGTCATTAGAAGATCCGTTTAATGATAACTTGTAGAAACTAACAACATACTTCCTTTGTTCTATTGTAAGCAACATGTTTTCCTTTTTAGTAAGTTCCGATAATATGAATACCTTTCAATAGTTAGAAAATTTAACTTTAAACTTTCTATTTTACCAAATGTCATGACTTTTATAGCCACAGAAATGCCATTGGTTGTTTAGAACCTCAAGTCCCAAATATCTTTGTTTCTTAAACTCCATGCTCAGTCAAACAGGTTTGCACAATATAAAATGAGGGAGTTATGTTAAATCTATTTGTCAGTTTTATCTTTTTTTATGAAGATTTGTATCCTGGTCAGCATGTGCACATTCCACTATTCAACCGGTACCTACAACCTCCCACCAACACATGAATAAGGTAACTTTGACTTAAACAGATGGAAAGAAATCACCTAGTGTGTTTTTTTTGTCTTTATTACGATTTGAACCCTGGTCTAGGGGTTTGGACCCACTTCATTGACCGCTAGACCACACCTTTTAATACAGTTTCTATTTTTTTTCTTTTTGTGGACTGGCATAATTTCTTTTTCTGGACTGGAATAATGCCAACCATCCCAAATTCAGGAAAAAACTTATAAGAGTAATCTAGGAAAAATTCACAAAGTCATTTCATCCCATAAATGCCCTTTCTTTTCTCTCTAGTTCCTAGAACTAGAAAAGAAGTGGCATAGGACACCACAGTATAACTGAGAATCTAGAACAAGTATAGAGAAATCACCAGTACTCTTCTATTCTAATGAAAGATCATGCTTGCTAACCCAAAACAACATGCTTTCATACATATTTTGCTTTTAATTGCTTCCACATTACTGCAGCTTGATACATTCACCTAAAGCAACCTCTATCATATAAAATGCTATTTTGCACAATTACTTAGTTTGTCACTTCACCTTACCATTTTCTTTATTCCAGAAGTCAAAACTAGATGCTCAGGGAAAGCAAACAACTTTCAGTAATAACTTAGTCTTTTAAGACAGAGTAGGGGCAATCTATGCATACTTACAATCTAACATGTCAAGCAGCTAAACCAGAAGAACAAGCCAACAAACAGAACAGATTATAAAACAAGGAACTCACGTAATAGGATCGGAAAGAATAGTTCTCAATGACTCTCCTGATTCATTTGAATAATGAGCTTCCTTTCTCCCACTAAATCCACACCCATTCTCAAACCCCATTTCCTTCTGTGCTGCATTTGACCCTTCCGGTCCCTGCAAATACTGATTATAATACATATCCCCATCAACACTAGCAATTATCACAGCATTTCTCACGTCGACACCACCTTCATTTCCCGACGGCCCAACATTCCCTTCCTTCACACCTTATTCAACAAATCAATCAATCAAAAACAATATCTCAATTCCAAATCAAGAAAACAATAAAATCGTCAAAAACTTACCAAATGTAGAAACACTTCTCGTTTTATCACTGCCAACTACTTTACCACTACTATTACTATTAACTTTATCACTATTATTATTCTGATGATCACTATTTTCAACTGTAACAATCCCCTCCACTTCATTCTCATCATCATCATCATCGTCATCGTCATCCATATCCTCATCCTCCGATCCATCACCATCGCCATCTCCATGGCTCTTCCTATTCCAATCACCATCACCACGGTCGTCACCGAACATTTGACGGCGAAAATCAGCAGCTTGTGGTTGATGTTGATTAAGAAAGTACTGATGTTGATGATTGAATCCGGTAAGCTCCCTTGTAGTTTTTGGACCTGGATCACCTGTAACAGACCCAACCCCACCCGGAGGTTGTGCTGGTGGTGGTGCGCCGCAGCTGAAATTGCTTTCATGGAAAACTAGCTGTGAATTAAGCCCATTCTCCACCCTTCGAGCTGAAACAAGTCCCATTTCTTCAGAAGCCATAAGCGATGCTGAATGAAGAAAAAAAAACCTAAAAACTGAACCAAAAAGACGCTAATTTCTGAGAATTTGAAGAATTGAATTGAAGAAAAACTCCATTTTTGGTGATTTGAAGGAACAAAATTAATTTTGTATTTTTTTAGGGGAAAATGGTTGAGGGCTAGGGGTTTTAGGAAGAAGGTTAAAACGACGTCGTATTTATGTGGTTAATTTGTATGTAGTATTAGAAATAGAAAGTTGGTAACGTTTGTCTACGCATACGACAAATGATTGGAACAATATATTTTGCCGTGTAAGAGAAAAAGCTACACGATGATAACGTGAATTGTGCTAGAATGATTGAGATTTATAACTCGAGTTCGAATGTTTGAGAATTGATAAAAAATTACTTTTAAAATGTGTGAATTTATCAAATCTCAATATGATTTCAAACCATAAATGAAAAGAAGAAAAGGTTAATTTTTTTCAAGAAGTTTCAACCGTCTAAAAAAATTAATGATCATTTCGAGTCAATTTTTACGCATCTCGATTAATTCTACGTGATACATATCACCTGGAAAAATTGAATCCTCTTCACCACTCGATAAAAGATTGTGCTTGTGTCAGTGAAATCAAAAGTTTATTTATATGTATGTGTATGTATGTATATATATATATATATAAGTATAGATCGAAGGCTTTTGAAGACTAGAAGACGAAGCTTGAGAATTTACTCTCTCAAAATAAAGTATGTCCTCATATATCAGATGGCATAGTCTTATGTTCTTAGTTTCTATCTTTAAGACTTAATGTGTCTTTAAAATGTAAAGGGTCGTGTCCCAAAGATTATTTATGTCATGTCTTTAAATTGGCTTCTGAAGACGAGATTATCCCTTAGCTTTTACGAAAGATGTTTCTTTTATTAATTTATTCTTAAAAAGTTTAAATTCCGCACTATTTTTCATGTCTTATGTAATGAATGATAGTTAAGGCTTGTAATGATCAAGTATGCAATTGTTCCGACCCATGGGTTCTCCCTAACTTCTAGGGGATACTTTCGGGTCGTAACACACTTGTGTGTGTGTATATATATATATATATATATAATTTTAAAAACTGATTATCTATACATGTATACACAGTGCTATTATTCAACGAAGTAGGTTCATATAAACCCACATGACCTATTATAGGTCCGCTTCTGACAACTTGTACTAAGTAACTTTGTACACTAAGATTAGGACGAAAAGAATTAATTAGTGTTTTTGTCTCCTCTGAGTTTTAAAACCTGAGAACATTCTGAATTACTATATTGACCACTAGGTCATTGACAGATTTCTTGGTCAATAAAAAAAAGTTACCAACCAGATTTGGCAATTGACATTTAAAGGAATAAGGTGGGCTATGCTTAGGGCTAGGCATAAACATCGGAAAATCGAAACACCGTACCGAATCTAATTTTTTTGATATTTTGGTTTCGGTTTTTTGGTTTTCGATTTGGTATTCGGTATATGTTTTTGTATTTTTTGATATTTCGGTTCGGTTTTCGGTATGCAATTTTGTGTAATTCGGTATTTCGATTTACCGAAATATATTATATTATAATATATATTTATATTATATTAATTATTAATATTTATACTATAATTTAAAATAAAAAAGTAAAAAGTAAAAAGTAAAAGACTTTTTGATATAACTATTTTTAGCCCATTTCATTTGTAAATTTTTAAAAGCCCAACTAAGCAGACCCATTAAAAAAACTGAAATAACATAACCGAACCGAAATATTTTATTTCGATTCGGTATTCGGTACACAATTTATAAAAATTAAAAACCGAAAAAATCGAAAAAAACCCGAAACCAAATTGAAATACCGAATGCCCACCCCTAGCTATGCTCGACCAATAACTAAATTAATAATATATTTTTTAATGGATTTTAGTCTTTAATGATTTCATTTTCAATTTAACTAATTAAAAAATGTTACTATTATAAATATATGATTTCTCCAATTTTTTTGCGTGATATAACAATAATGTAATTTTACATAATACTTAAAATAGAAATATTAGTAACTAATACGAAAAATAACTATACAAATGCAACACAAATAAAAAAATTAGGAGAATAATGTAAATTAAAGGCTAACAAACAAAGATAAAGATGAATGTGTAAATTACTACATCCGTAATTGTTATTGGGTGACCAATAATCCAATATTAAAAAACAAAAATTGAATCGAGAATTAAAAAAATATATATGTATAAAAAAAATAAGGACATGTTAATCCAATAACCCAATAGCCACAACCAAATAACTTTTCTTCAATTTAATTTATTAATCGATTTGATTTTGTATACCTCTAATTAATTTGCATTTTCTTAAAAAGGGTAACTAGTAGTAGTAGTTTTTGTCTTTAATCTTGATTTTTAAATATCTTTTTTTTAAAATATTAATTATTATACCGTATATTATCAAAAGAATTCTCATAAAATATTATAGGAGTATCTTTGTTCCTACAAAAATTAAATTATTTTCATTTTTTATAACACACTACGTAGATGGCATTTTGAAGATTAGTATTAGCTTGTTTTAGGAATATTTAATATTATAAGTATGTATTCAGACATTAATTTATTTACTTTCTTTCTCGTAAATGAATTCTTTAAACTTTTAAATAAATAATTTCATAAAATGGTCCTCAAATGTCATTTTGATAACACTAACTTGTTTATGATTTACCAATAATTTAGGGGTGCTTACTAGATGGATCAGGTGGATAGTTATGCTTAATGATTCGACTTACTAAATATTTTAATTTTAAATTATACTAATTCGCTAGTCAATTTCGAATGGTGCATTTGACTCCATTTTGATTTTTATGAACAATTTTTTTTATTTGTTCGTCATTAATGTAAAATTTTATAATTTGATCTTACAAATAATATGCTTTCTTTGTTCCATTTAAAAAGTATCCAAAGATAAAATAGTCCTAATTAAGCAATTTATATAACATAGTTCCACCGCATAAATTTCACAAAAATATCTTATTATTATCACTATTTTACTTTTGAATATAATTTCACCTTTTGTAACGGTAACATTGAGATTAGGTGATTTGATGCTAGAGGGTGATTATTTTCATAATAATCACTAGCAAAATTTAATGAATTGCGAAAATTGATCGTAAATTTTATCTTGTCATACATACCATTAGAATTAACTACTAAATTCTATTGAGTGAATTATAATTTATCGTGTAAAATACTTCGTCTAACACGTTTTTTTATTCAAAATTGATTCAAATTAAAATTTGAATACTATTTACAACATTCTAATATTAATCCCATCAATTTTCAATTATTAAATTCAACTTAAATTTGAAAAATAGTTATAGCAAGTTATATTTTGATAAATTTAGACCTAGGTAAATTTGACTATTAGTTGTAAACAAATTAATCCAAATTTAGATGTGGTAAATTTGACTATTAGTTGTAGAAAAGTAAATTTGGCAAAGTTAGGTAAATTTGAACAATTTTTGGTTTAAATAGGTAGAAGCTAAACTCTAAGAAACGTGTGTATATATATATATATATATATATATATATATATATATACACTCTTATATCCAGATCTCTTACCCATATTTTATCCATTTTATAAGTGGGTTTATAAAATTTTGAACAAGTGTTTAGGAAACTTATTTGAGCTCTATCTATATAATGTCTATATATATTATGTGTTCCATCCATTTGCATGGCTGCAAGTGGTTTTTCTAAAGTTTTTATTAATTCTATAGGTACAATATATATATATATATAATTTTCATTTTATTTTATTTAGTTTTTATCTTAGTTAATATGATACATTTTATTATTATTATTATCTTCTAAAGAAAATGTCGATCTTTTTATAGTTTGGTAACAATTTTAACTTAACATTTTATTTAACAAAACAATCTATAGTAATAAAAATATCTAAAATGTTCACATAAATTAAGACAAAAATAAAAAGTTAACTTCAAAATAAAGGCGGAGAGATGAGATCCTTTTGATGTCCTGTTCGAGATTTAATATTTCTCTTTCGAACCAAGGTTATCAAAATTATGTGTAAAAATTAGGGCTACTTATTAGACGAACTAGATGGATAATTTATGCTACTTATAAATATACAAGCCAGCTATATTATAAGATACTTATTTGTATGTTATCGATCATGAGAATTAAGATGACTCTCGGACAATGTATCAACTAAATATTAGAGAGTTCTTTCATTTTTACAGTATCTCACGATCACAATAAATTTAAACTAAACTTCGATTTCTTTCATTTTTCTTAAATAAAAACGATCTTTTTATTAATTAATCATACATTATTCGTTATATTATTCTCTTTCTTTAATTAAAATCACAACAAAAATAGTCATATCATTAAGCTTGTGTCTTTTTCTCCATAAAATATTTGATGAAATCTCTTACCTAATAATAACAGACAAAATCTCTATGATACACTAATGAGAAGAACAAAAAAAATTGAAGGAGTGAATGAGGCTTTAACTAAATTTACAATATAAATGTAAGGAAAATAATATAAACATATTAATTATTAATGGATTAACCATTTATTCGCATAAGAAAATTAAATAATATGTTTTTTCATCGGATACATCACTAATTATAAAACTTAATTTATTTATCGTTAATTTAATAACAAAACACCATTAAATCAAATTTATAGTTGAATTATTAGTTACAAATCGATTTTAAATTATATAGGGTTAGTTTTGTTGTTATGTATATATAATAAAAACATAAATATACGTTATAACTTGAATTTTTAATTTATTTTTATATTTTATAACTTTAGATATGCATGCAGAAATACATAACCTTATATAAAATTAAACAAATAGAAATAATGTATTTACTTTCGCTTACGCAAGTAAAACATATATTTTTATTTGTTTATTTTTATACAAATAAATATTTATATATATAATCAAATTCGAAACTATAAATAACAACGCAAATCAATTAAAATAACATGTATTACACGTAAAATAAATATAAATTCTCTAGATTTAGCACTTTATATTATACAAAAAAAAAAATTATGTCTCCGCGGCTGATCGTGAAGTGAAGAAGAGAGGAAAAGCTCAAATGGCGATGGCGTAGGAGAAGAGGAATTGGTGTGCGTGAAAAG